AAAACATAATTAATGTGCACAAATAAGGAATAGTTGTATTAACCGTACATGGAAACAGAGTTTTATGGGGCCCCCAGGAACTTGGGGCCCTAGGCCACTGCCTAGTATTGCCTAATGGTAAATCCCCCTAATGGTAAAGTCAGATGGGTTCAGTAAAGCAGATTCCTCCATCCAGCTCCTAACTGTGGGCTCCTCCAGGTCCCATGGAGACATCCTCGGTTCTCCTGCAGTGTGACCTTTGCTCCCTCCTGCCTGTCTGTCGAGTTCTGGAGTTATCTCTGGGTTTGTTATTGTCTACCAGGTGATTTCCATCTGAAGATGGTGGACTGGAGGGCCTCCAGCAAACACTGGATGTTTGTGGAGCTGCTTGGTCTTCAGGGCGTCTCGGACTTGGTGGCGTTTTTACTGATGGACTGAACTCAGGTGGACTGGAAGGATCAACGTTTTTATTTTATAGTTTTATAAACGTATACAGCCAGAGGGTCGAATACTTCTGAAGGCCCGATGTTCTGTCAGATCAGCATACCCCATCAGACCAGCATACCCATAGTCAATACCCCTTCATCCATTTTAGGTTTCTGCGAAAAATTAACTTTAAACTACTTAAACAGATGTGTATCCCTTTAGCCATGTACAAAAAAACTATTTAATGACTTACGTTTTGGTGTTTCTTTAAGCGTATGGCGATCTGACCTTAAATCGTTTTTCTTTTGTTCATGACTAAAGGGATACACGCCCGTTGATGTAGTGTAAAGTTTATTTTTGTACAAAAATAAAAGGATAAATGCAAATCTGATGTCTCGCGCATGCATATTGGCTTAGGACATGCTGAACAGAACAGCGTCTCATCGTGCATCATCCACGCCATTATTCCAGCTCTGATTGGCTCCAGCTGAACCAGATGTTGAGGCCTGATCATTGGGTTTCACAGGAGTCGTATCTCGCCGCGGTCTCTAACGGTGAATCTGGAGTTCAGGTTGAGGATCTGTGATCTCAGATACAGTTTGTTTTTCTTTCAGAGCTGTACTATGACAGAGGGAACCACCATGAGTTCGTGTCGTTGGTGAAGGACTTGGCTCGGCCTGGAGAGCTCACACAGTCCCAGACGTTTGACTTCGAGTTCACGCATGTGGAGAAACCGTACGAGTCGTACACGGGTCAGAACGTCAAACTACGGTGAGTTAACGACTTTAGACGATCATTTAGCCGCTCTCCTTCATACCCGGCTCTAAACTAGATGCTCCATTATGCTACGTTCTCAGCGAAAGCGTTTTAAGCACCAAAAAGGCTTAAATACAGAAATCTGGATGCTGGATTAAACTGGTTCAGACGCTCTGCTTGTTTATCTGCTCTATTCTGTAGCTTCAAGCTAGAGAGCAGCTTGGCTTTATTTACTTTATGGGTTGATAAAATAGTTTTAACTCTTTTTAGGTGAGAAAGTCTAACTCCAAACATCGTCTGTTTATCAGTTCGTCAGGATTATAATCCCACTATAATCTGCAGTTCTTGTTGGGAGCTCCAGACCTCCATCAGCACTGGAAATCCCAGCTGAAAGCTCTCTGCTGCGGCCCGCCTGTGAGGGATTTCCCGCTGCTGTTCGTAGCGGCTGGAAGTGAATAGAAAGCGTTTTTAAAGGAAAAGTCCGATCAGCGAGGAATAATCAATGGATCATTATTTATACCTAAAACTAAAACGTTCGCTGTGATTTAATGAATAT